AGAGAGAGAGAGAGAGAGAGAGAGAGAGAGAGAGAGAGAGGGGGGGGGATATTTATACAAAGTCATAGTACATCAACCCTTGTCAAAAGTAAGAAACTGCTCAAGATAAAAATAAGTCCTATCTTCTAAACTTCCCTGAATAACCCACAAGAAATAAGGGCAATGTACCAGCATTGGAGAGCACACACAATGCTCAGATATGTGAATGATCATTTGTAAGGCAGCTCTGTGAAATCATTGTTTTTGTAAAGTGTTTTACGGCGCTCGCAACTGCATAAGGTCATATGAGCGCGCGGGACACATCTAAAATTTTCAGCTGGTAGGAAATTTTGAATTTTGCAGAAAACAGATAGAAAAAGGATGCACAGGACAGGCTTCTCTGGAGTAATGCTCCACTGGGAGTTTAAAAGGGCGAGAGAGAGAGAGAGAGAGAGAGAGAGAGAGAGAGAGAGAGAGAGAGAGAGAGGGAGAAAGAGAGAGGCGAGTTCAGGATGGACAAACTTTCCGCTCATAATAATTAAGTGTCACGACATGGTGAAATGAGGCGCTTGTCAATATTTGGACATATGGAGTTATTGGTATCGTCGTAAAGCCTGTCCATTTTGCCTTGCTTTTGGTGGGAAAAATATCCTTTTATCTTTTGTAAAAGTCAAGAAATTGGCGATTTAAGGAGTTGGGGGTCGCCTTGTTTCAGAGGTAAAATTAAGGAGAATATTGGCCGCCAAAGTTGTGTTATTTCCTTAGCTTGAAGGTTCGTGGAAACTGAAAATGTACATCGTTTATGCCGCACGGGGCATAATTATACCTTCGCGTCCGATAAAAGCAATCCAAAACTGACAATAAAAACCCTTTCAGGTACTCTTGAATAGACATAAGAGTCTTGAACATGTAGCTCTCACTGATAAAACTGTAGGCAGGCAGGCGAGATATTTTAGGGGGTCGATCCGGAAGATTAATTTACTGAAAGAATCTAAACAGATAGGTGACTCGGCAAGATTGGAATAATAGTTACAGTTTTGATTTTTGTTTGTTTGTTTGGTTGGGTTTTTTTTTCGGTTGTTATTGTTTTGGTTTGTGTGTGTTTGTGAAAATAACGATGAAGATGAAGAAGATGATGATGATGATGATGCTAGACTATCATCAATTTCTTTATAATTAGCCCCTTGGCCTGGCACCCACTTAGTCACTTCCGTCTAGCCTGTAACCACATGTAACCCTAAGACCCTCTTTGTTAGGCCCATTTCCCTGCTAGTATACAGCGCCCATTAACTTTTTCTCTCAATTGCTCATGAGGAGGCCCAAGAAGAACTATTAAACAAATTTTAAACATTTTATATTGTTATGTTATTTTGTCTGAAAATCAAACAAGACTCTCACTCCTACCCTGCTTTCCAAACAATGATGATGATGATGATGATGATGATGATGATGATGATGATGATGATGATGATGATGAAGATGGTGATGATTATAATGATGATGATGATGATGATGATGATGATGATGATGATGATGATGATGATGATGATGATGGTGGTGGTGGTGATGGTGATAGTGATGATGATGGTGATGAAGATGGTGATGATTATGATGATGATGATGATGGTGATGATGATGATGATGATGATGATGATGATGATGATGATGATGATGATGATG